GATAATATTCCACGTCCAAGGGAATACTATCGAAGATTGCTTCTCTTGAAACAATCCCCATCCTCATTAACAATATTCCACGTCCAAGGGAATACTATCGAAGATTATCTCTCCTAAAACAATCTTCATCCGCATTGACAATATTCCACGTACAAGGGAATACTATCGAAGATTATCTCTCCTGAAACAATCTTCATCCGCATTGACAATATTCCACGTCCAAGGGAATACTATCGAAGATTGCTCTCCTGAAATAATCTTCATCCGCATTGACAATATTCCACGTCCAAGGGAATACTATCGAAGATTATTTCTCTTGAAACAATCTTCATCCGCATTGATAATATTCCACGTCCAAGGGAATACTATTGAAGATAACTTCGCCTGAAATCACCTTCAGTTGTTTGTGACAACTCTCCGCAAGCTAGGGAATGTTGCCGAAGATTTGCTCGCTTGAAGCTAATCTTATTCGTTGCGATAATTTTCCAAAGAGAATTACCGAAGACCTCCGCTTGTCGATCTTAAAAAGCTCTCTTTAACTTCGCTTCCGCTATGCCTGTACGTCGGCGCTTCTTCTGCTTTTGAACCTATACGTCGGTGCCTTTATGAATGAACCACTATATCGGTGCCTTTTGCGACGAGCTAATGCTTAGGCGCTTTAAGCTAAGTGAGACGATCTTTCATCAGGTCGATCACTTTATGCAATCAAGCCGATTACTAAAAATCATGTCAAATTGCTTAGAGGGGCTAACGAGTGGGAAGCTGAGTGTTCTGGCGCCGCGATGTTGTTGAGCATGTCAGAGGGAAATGGTACCCCTTGGTGGCCTTGCACGATCCCTGGGCGATGCTATGCGAAGGAGCTACTGCCGTTGTTAGCTCCAGTTCCCGTACCGGCTGAGGATGTGGCGGTACAATTTTTCAGCTCTTATCTTTCGTTAAGTAGCCCCCAAGTAATTCTTCACTAACTTGGTTTTGCTTTATCAGGACGATGCTACTGAGTTCATGCCACCCCGTAAGTCTATCCATTACCAGGGGACATACGGGCCGATCGAGGAGATGATTCTTCCGGCTCCTGAGGACAAGCGCTTTGTAGAGCAGTCGATTCCTCGCCACCAGACTCGAGTAAGCTTTTTTATTTGCAAATTTTGTCCACATATATTATGCATGTTTACTGACTTATTTCTTTGACAGCTCTCGCGCGAGGTGGTTTGTACCTGTGCTTTTTATTATTTATTTGACTTTGTATAGAACTTTGCCTTTTAGTTAAACACATTTTGTAGACATATTTTGTATATACATACTATTATGAGTTTATTTATGTTTGCTATTATTATTTTTATTATTATGTGCATGTTTGTGTGTGTGCAAGAAAAGTGTGACAAACAATTTTGCGCAAAAATTCCGTCATTTTTTTTATTGATGGAGGGTATCCGACTCTCTCCCAAAAAAAAAATGAAAAAAGGAAAAGGAAAATAAAATGTTGGGTTTATAATAAACTTTGGAAATTAATCTAAATAAAATCCAAAAAATAATAATATAATAGCTATATTAATTAAAAGAAGAATAAAAAGATGTTTAGAAAAGATAATCGGAGCCGTAAAGTCATTAGTCGACTCGAATTTAAGGTATAAACGCGATTTAAGAAAGCGTGCATGACATGGCAGATTGGCGCCAGCTAGCACCACGCAATTGGGTGTAGCGCCAGGCGCTACACTTGGCGTGTGGCGCCAAGCTTTGGCGTCTGGCGCCAATCGCGGAGTCTGACGCCAATTGGCGCTGCATCCGTATTTTACCCCGATTAAAACTGTTCGTAATTCGTGCATAAATAGCCCCCTGCCCAGCCAATTCTTTTCATAATTTCAGCGAATAAAATAATTCTTGGCCTTAGAAAAATAATATCATGTCTCTAGTCACCAAAACTTTCACCCAATACACCCATGAATGGTGCCGATCTCTTAATGCTAGAGAAAGGAAAGAATTAGATTTGTTTCATCTGGGGGGAATTTATGGTGTTAAAGGGGTAGATCTTGACTTAGATTTCATTCATACCGCTCTAGAATATTGGAATGTTGATACTCATTGCTTTAGAATAGGGTATGATGAAATTAGCCCGTTGCCGGAAGAATTTGGTGCTATTTTAGGATTCCCTGTAATAGACCTCATAGTATTCCCTAGAGTAGATGCATATTATTATAAGGATTTTGAGCGCTTCTTCAATTTAAAAGAAAGGGATCTATAAAAAATAGTAGATGGCAACATAGTTAATTTGAAAGAATTTGCACGCCATTATTTTGATAAACCTCTTTCTAAATCTTTTCATATTTATAGAAGAAGGGCTTTCTTATTTTGCATGGTTAATCAATTTTTTCTTAGTAGTGGTAAAAATAATGAAGGTCAATCAATTATAACCACCGTACTAGAACAAATTGAATCAGGGAGACATCCAATGCCATTGATAGTTGTAGAGACCATGATTAGTCTTGATGAATTGAAAAAGAACCCAAAATCACCTTTACGCGGCTCTCCAATTTTATTACAGGTAGAAAAATAATATTTTTAATTACAGAAATAAAAAAATTTATTTTTGTATTGTAATAATAATTTATTTGCATTGCAATTTTTTTTTACAGATGTGGGTAATGGGAAGGCTAGAATTAATTAGCCCTCCGGACAACATTGAGAAGTACACTCCAAATTGCTTCGCGAGGAGGAAGAAACACTTCTCTAAAATTGGGCGCCATGAGTGGAGAAGGGTCTTCGAATCTCGCAATTTTGCTATCAAATGGGTCGTCCGATGGTGGAAAATAGAAAGGATGGTTGGTGTCAACAAGCAACCTTTCTGCCGTCTTCCAAGTTTTTCTCGTATGACTTATTATTATCCCTGCAGGGTAAAAAGACAATACGGCTTGCTTCAGAATATTCCTTCCGAAGATCTTCGTCCTCCCTATGAGTATCCTGTTTCCCATGAAGTAGACAAATTTGATGCTTATTGGAGTGCCAGACCTCTATGGGAAGTAACTACCCAAAAGGTTCCTCCTTCCTTTCCCAATGATGTGAAGAAGTGGTTGTTGAAGAAACCTTCAAAGCACTTGAAGAAAAGTCAGGGTAAAACTGACGTGAAGAGTCGTCTAGGTGAAAGAGTGATTCCTGCCAAGGAACGCTTAGGTGAAAGAGTCGAATTCAAAACACCTGCAATGCCTAGGAAGAAAAGTACTACAAAAGATAAGGGAAAAAGGAAAGCTGACACCACAGATAAAAAAGTCTGAGTAGAAAAGATGTATGGAGTCCTAGTCGAAGGGGAAACTATCTACTCTAGATTGAATGTAGGTCCTCTAAAGGATGCCTACTAGCTAAGGTAATGGATGAGGAGGAGGAAGCAGACAAAAATTGGAAAAGGGTTAGGAAAGAAAAGAAAGATTAGGAGCATTGCTTAGTTTCAAATTATTAGACTTAGTTTATATTTAAAGTTAATTTATTTAAGCTTTATTTAAATTTCATCAATAATGTAATTTTATTTTATTAATGAAATTTCAGCTTTTAATTAATTATTTACTTTAAATTTATTTTATTAAAGCAATGAAAATCGGAAAAAATAATTTTCCAGAAATTCTTCGAGTACGAAAGTTGAAAATTTTCCGAAAAACACCGAAATTTGCCCAGAATTTAACTGTGAATTGGCGCCGCTTATTTGTGACTGGCGCCGGCCACAGCAGTCTGGCGCCAGGCGCCAGTGCTGTTGGCTGGCGCTGATGGTTGCTGGCTAGCGCCAGATTCTTCTCTGTGACGCTGGTATTTCGCCGATCTTCTGTCGAATTTTTAATTAATTCTGGAATGTGAGAATGTCGAAAAATAAAGTGGCCGCACCCGTAAAGGGTTGCCTAGGTATCCTTTCTTAAGGAATCAGGCCAAACGTAGCTCTCTTGAGTATCCTACTCAAGTAATTATGGGCAGTACTTCTTAAGTTGGTCAAGATTTGTCATGTTCGAGAACTCATTGCCATCCATATCAGTTAGTTTTGCTGCACCTCCTGACAGGATTGTTTTGACAATCTAGGGTCCAGACCAATTAGGTCTAAATTTTCCCCTTGGATCTAAAACATTTTTCCTTAATGCTTTTAACACCAAGTCTCATACTCTGATGTTTCTTGTCTTGACCTTCTTATTAAAATGCCTAGCTATACGAGTTTGATAACAGTGAGTGTGATGCAGAGCTTCTAGTCGTTTTTCATCGAGTAAAATTAGCTCTTCATATCTTGCCCTAGTCCATTCAACTTCATCGAGTTGACTCTCTAACGCGATGTGTAGAGATGGAATTTCTAATTCGACAGGTTGTACGGCATCCATTCCATAAACCAAGGAAAATGGCGTATTTCCTGTCGACGTGCGGATTGACGTGCGGTAACCCCACAATGCGAAGTGAAGTTTTTCAGGCCAATCTTTATAATTTTCCGTCATTTTCTCGATGATAGTCTTTAGGTTTTTATTAGCGGCATCGACTGCTCCATTTGCTTGAGGTCTGTAAGGGGAAGAATGATGATATTGAATGCCATATTTTTGTAACAATTCTTCACATTCGGCCTGAAAGTGAGTTCCATTGTCACTTATCATTTCATGTGGGACTCCATATCGACAAATAATATTCCTCTCAATAAAGAGTGCTACATGTTTTTCAATGATTTTAGCGTATGATTGCGCTTCGACCCACTTTGTGAAGTAATCAATTGCTACTAAGATATATTCGTGGCCTCCTGTTCCTGGGGGAGTGATTTCACTAGTAGAAAAAACCCTATTTGTAACGCCTTATTTGTAACCATCAAAGTTTTTTTAGTTACAAATACTATATTTGTAACCAACATTAGCTATGTCTGTTACAAAAAGGATAATATTTGTAACGGACAACATAGTGTTGGTTACAAAAACATCATATTTGTAACGGACAGCATAATGTTAGTTACAAATACATCATATTTGTAACGCACAACATACAGTTGGTTACAAATAGGAAGGATATTTTTATATGTTTTCATAACCGCCCAAAGGCCCATTACTCCCCAACCCTAACTACCACTACAGCCGCCACGTCTCCCCTTCTTTATTTCTAATTTGTGTTCTCTCTCCTCTTTCCCTCTTTCACTGTTCTTTGTTCGTTCCTCTGAAATCTCTTTGGGAACTTTGTCCTCCCTTCTTCTCATCGCTCGTTCAATCATCTCATCATACTTTGTTCTCAATGACGTAGGCAACCATCACCGCTCACAAATTCTCTCTGTTTCTTCGCCCTCTGCATTCACTGATAGTGGTCATGATGGTGACGGTGGTCGCGAGCAATAACGACGGTGCAATTCAATTTTAATGTTTTTAATTGGTGTTCATGGTATGAGATTTTTTAAATTTTTCCCTGTAATTTTCAATTTTAATGTTTAACTTTGGTTTATCATCTTTGTGTTATTGTTATCAGGTTCTTTAATTTGGCCCCTTTTAAGGTTTAATCTTGAGGTAATTCTTATCTTCCGCATTTCTGATTTCTGTGATTTTCAATTAATTTCATTGTTGGGGTTTTTTTAATCCGATTTTAATTCATGGATATTATAAATTTTGTATTATAACTTGATTATAAAGGATTTTTGACGTTGTTTGAATTTGGGAAATGGGGTTTGATTTTTTTTTTTTTCAACAAAGTTGTTGATTTATGATGATAGATGTTTATTATTGAAGTTAAATTGAAATATTGAAGTGGGTATTATTTGTTGGGCTTAAAAGTTGATATGTGAATCGATATGAAGGTGTTTTTGGGTTTCTAGGAAGTATTATTAGCTTTGCTATACGAATTTGATTGTATGACCTGAATTTGCAATGTGGTAAGGCTTGAACTTGGTTGTTAGTCTAGTGTTCTCAGTAGAAACAGATTGAGCTAGTCATCCCCTTACTTTCAATGTTGTCAACATCTTAGTAAAATTGAAATATTGATTGGTTGAATGTAGCGAGGTTTGATATCGGAATCCAATGTGCTTTATTGTTTGGAACTTAGGTACCGAATTGCCGATGTAGTATATAGCATGATAATGTTTATTGGTTGCCACACTGTAATTTTGGGGAATTTACGAGTCCAATTAACTATTATTGTCATGTTGTAAGATTTTGATTGTTTTATCTTGTGTTGTTGCGGTATCAATTGATTCATGTGAGTTTGTAATCTTAAAAAATTCAAGTCCTTAATATAATAGAATCTTGCTTAATGCTACGATTGATAATTAAATTGAGATTTGTTTTTTTTTGAATAAATTAGTAACTTGAGATTATTAAGACCTCAATTTCTATAGATAAATAATGTATTTTTTTATTTATTTGCACAGGAAAAGTCAAGGAGCTGATCAACATTTGATGGGGGAGCTATATCGACACTTTTTAGGATTTTTTATCATAATTTGTTGTAATGAAATGATATAACGTGATAGAATAAAATTTACTTTGTTTCTATAAATTGAAAGGATGATTATTATTCCACATAATATTCAATTATTTATTTTTATATTATCTTTTTGTTTGTTGAATTTTTTTCCAGAAATAATAATAATAATAATAATAATAATAATAATAATAATAATAATAATAATAATAATAATAATTATTATTATTATTATTATTATTATTATTATTATTATTATTATTATTATTATTATTATTATTATTATTATTACATCAACCTAGCATTTGCTAGGTATTTTTTTTAATATCGAAAATGAGCAGTTGTAACCAACATTTAATATGTCGGTTACAAATAGGTACCTATTTGTAACTGACATATCAAATGTTGGTTACAAATAGTAACCTATTTGTAATGAACATATTAAATGTCCGTTACAAATGATAGGACTATTTGTAACCCCAGTACTTGTAACGGCCAAAGTTGGTTACAAATAGCCTGTTTTTGTTACTTACAAATAGCGTTTTTTCTACTAGTGTTTTGCTGATGATGTCAATTCCCCATGTAGAGAATGGCCATGGCGATATGTAGGTGTAGAGCAAGGATGGAGGAACATGTTGTAAATTGGCATAGATTTGGCACTTAGGGCATCTTTTTACATATTGATGGCAGTCCCTATTCATCGTAGTCCAATAATATCCTTCTCGCATTATTTTTTGGACTAACATTTTTCCATTTATATGAGTGCCACAGATTCCTTCGTGGAATATTCTCATTGCTCTTTGTGCATCCTTCTTTCCTACACATAAGAGAGCTCGACCCTTAGGTACCCTTTAATGTAGCTCGTTGTCTATGAGTACATATTGGGAAGCCAAAAGTCTTAATGCTCGTTTTGCTCTTTTGTCAGCATGGGGAGGGTATTCTCCTTTGGTGACATAATTGAGTATATCCATGTACCATGGTTCTTCTTCTTCTTCTTCTTCTTCTTCTTCTTCTTCTTCTTCTTCTTCTTCTTCTTCTTCTTCTTCTTCTTCTTCTTCTTCTTCTTCTTCTTCTTCTTCTTGGACTACTTCGTCTCGTCTTCTATAGCCTGGATGTATGCCGACTTGTGCTTTTTTTCTATAGTTAGAGGCATTTGCTCAATTTCTGTGGGAATCCTAACCATTAAGGCTAGTCTTGCCAAGGCGTCAGCAAATTGATTTTCTTCCCTAGGTAGATATGTGTATTCTACCTTCTCTAACTGATTGGTAAGAGTTTCCAGATAGGTTTGGTAAGGGGCTAGGCTTTCGCTCCTTACTTTCCACCATTTAGATATCTGATTGATAATCAAAGAAGAGTCTCCAAATATCGTTAACTTTTTTACTCCCAATGCCAAAGCTGTTTCAAGGCCTACCACGCATGCTTCACATTCGGCAGCATTGTTGGTAACGTCGAAATCAAGCTTTATGGAGATTGGAACATGCTCTTCTTTAGGTGATACTAGTAGTACTCCAACGCCACATCCCTTTTGGTTTGAGGATCCGTCGAAGTATAAGGTCCAGGTATCAACTTCAGTGACCATTAAGTCTTCATCTGGAAATTCATTGTCTTGTATTGGCGTCGAGTCTTCTATTGGGAAGTCTGCTAGAAAGTCTGACACCACGGATCCTTTGATAGATTTTTGTGGCATAAACCTTACATCAAATTGGGCTAGATTGACTATCCATCTCGATATGCGTCCATTAAGTGTAGATTTCTCAAATAGATACTTGAGTGGATCTAATCGGGAGACTACGAAGACGGTGTGCACTAGCATGTAATGTCTTAACTTGGTTGTGGCCCACACCAAGGCGAGGCACAATTTCTCGAGTGGTGTATAGCGTGCTTCGTATTCGAGCATCTTCTTGCTTAGATAGTAGATTGCATTCTCTTTGCCTTCTACTTCTTGTGCTAGCATAGCTCCCATTGTGTAGGCGTCGCTCGTAGTGCGACTACGTTAAAAGCATGTTGTGAATATGCTTGGCACTCATAGGAAGTGGTAATTGACATAATATGATTAGGGACAAGGAAAGTAGGGAGCCGCCAACAAGTTTTTAAGGAACTTGTAAACCGTTCACGGATCATAAAAGGCAACCACGAATAAGTGACAACGATAGGAAACAACGATTGACCCGTGAAGGTTACACCCCATTCATAATCCATGAGATTACTAACTCCATATGGTTCGGAACCACGAAAGGAGGATCGGGGATGATGGTACGAAGTGAGTCATGGAGTCACATTTGCCCGTATTGGCCTCTACTCGATTCTTATATTGAAAAGCACTCCTGTGATCTCAAAGGCATACAAACAATAATTCAATTCGCTCCAAACTATTATTTAACTAAATTGGTTTAATATTAATGCACACATAATTCTAAAATATTGGTGATCACTTCAATTAATAATAAGATTAAAAGGATCCTAAACCGGTTGTCCAAATTATCTTATTAGGCGTGATTTTCAATTACATATTCCCTTTAAACATACAATATGGTGATCAATAAATAATAACAGAACAACAATAATATTAAAACCAAATTAATCACAATTCCAACAACATAAAATCGTTAGAAAAATAATAAAAATAAAAGGAGCATGATCCTTACTTTGATTCTGTTTGTTTGCAACTACAAAATAATAAACGAGTTAGTAACTTTAAGGAAACAAATAAACAATAATTAAATTAAATTAAATAAAAAATAGTTGATTTTGAGGCCAAACCCTCAAACAATTCTACCTTTCACGCCTTGGCTTAAGGATAGAACCACGAGTAAAGTACAGACTCCTTTGAGTACTTGAAGAAGGAATTTTGAAGTGAAAAGGGTAGGCTACTGTTTAGGCTAAAGCATAGAAGAGAGAAAATAAAATTAGAGAATTACTCGGTGCCCCGTTCATTAGAAATGAGGGGGTATTTATAGGAAAAATGTGATGAGGGAGCACACGGAACCCTAAAATGATAAAAACCCTAAAAAAGCAACCGTGACACGGTCAAAGTGTACCGTGACACGGGAAGTCCCTCCGTCAGACGGTACACTTTCCTGTGACACGGTACATTTTTGGTGTGACGCGGGAAATTTTCAGAAAACGGGATAAAAAAACGCGTTAAGGATTTACGCGGAAAAGACACGGAATGCCCCGTGTCACGGCAGATCTCCCATGTCACGGGAAATTCCACCGTTAGACGGGAAGGATTCCCGTGACACGGTAGGTACCGGCCGTGGCGCGGGAAATTCCAGCCTTTTTTTCCGTCTAAATACATTTTTAACCCTAATTTCCTTCGGCATTTTAAGTGCCGATTGATAATTTCGGGCCTTTTCTGACTTTTTATTATTCAGGCTAAAATAAGAAAATAATTAAATAAAAATAAATAAAGGGTTTGGGCCAAAAATAAATAATAAAACAATAAAATAAAAAAGGTTTGGGCTTAAAATTAATTAATAAGTTTGGGCTGAAATTAAAACTATGCTTTTACCAAACATCAAGACTAATCCATGGACTGTTCAAAAATATGAATTTAATAAAATATGATTTTTTAAGCACTCTCGGGATTAAATACTAAACCTGACCAATAGTGGCGGTGAAAGGTTGTTCATCATCGGGTTTGGTTTTGGGGAGACATTTTTAGGTGTCTACAGAAGCCCCCACTTTGACTGAGTTTGTAGAAACGTCAGTTTCGAAAACGAAACGATAGTCAAAGTAGCCGATAGGGATGGAGAATGATTTAAGACGTTCTGCGATCCTAAATCACTTTGTATACGCCGATACCTGCAGAAAAATGTTAGTTCCACAGATAAAAGAATAAAGGGATAGAATACGTATCTGGCACCAGTGTATCGGTGACAAACGAATTTGGCAGCTTCCTAACCTTGAAGGAATCCACCGGATGACGTATGTTGAAACGATTTCCATGCTTGAGGAAAGCCGACAGATGAGTTTGGTAGCTTTCTAAGCCTGAAGAAACCTACCAGATGACACTTTCCATGCTTGAGGAAAGTCGACGTATGAATATGGTGTCATTCTATGCTTGAAGAATTCTACCGATAATGCCTTCCATGCTTGAGGAAAGCCGACTACTTGGCGGTTTTCTATACTTGAAGAAAAATCCACCGATAACTCTTTCCATGCTTGAGGAAAGCCGACTTGGCGGTTTTCTATACTTGAAGAAAAATCCACCGATAACGCTTTCCATGCTTGAGGAAAGCCGACTTGGCGGTTTTCTATACTTGAAGAAAAATCCACCGATAACGCTTTCCAAGCCTGAGGAAAGCCGACTTGGCGGTTTTCTATACTTGAAGAAAAATCCACTGATAACGCTTTCCAAGCCTGAGGAAAGCCGAATTGGCGGTTTTCTATACTTGAAGAAAAATCCACCGATAACGCTTTCCAAGCCTGAGGAAAGCCGACGATTGCTGAAATTTGTAAGTGTATGATGGTTCGATTATCCCCGAACGTGGGCCGCAGATGATTCACAATTTTAAGCCGATTATCCGACCATATTAAGTGCTTAAAATGCCGAAAAATAGACTTTGATGTTTGCTAGGGGTAAAATGGTAATTTTAGTCCCCCTTAAATATCTGTTAGAATTTTCCGCGTAATTCTAGCGAAAAATAATCGCCCAATAAGCTCGAAAAATCATTCAATCTGGTAAAAAACGTCAGGAATATTCGCTGACAATGTGGTAAAATCATTCAATCTGGTAAAAAACGTCATACGGAATAAAATCCCGTGTCACGGGAATACTTTTTCCCCTTTTTTTTATTTTTTTATTTTGCTGTTTGAATTGGTCAACGCGTGAATCAGCGTGCCACGTCAAATTGTACCGTTACACAACAACGGTAACCGTGGCACGGTGAACGGGGCTTGCAACGGTTACTTTTTTTTGCTTTAAATTCATATTTCTGCTTCACCATTTCGCCATTTCTCATCTCCTCTCTCTATACTTCTCCATTTTCATCTTCTTGCTTCACACAAACGCCGCGGAATGTCTAAGAGAAACCGGCGGTCGTCCGAGCTTACCGTGACACGGGAATGGCAACCGTGCCACGGCGGTTTTGCATTCTCTTTTTTTTTATTTTTTTTTCTTCTGCTGAGAGCTGCTGCTACTGTTGTTT